GGCCCACAAGAGGGTTATAGAGAACATATTTTTGCCCAGGGGTCAGGCTTCTCTTTGAGGCTATTCTTTAATGATGTAATGAGATGCTCTTTCCCGACTGTCCCTCACACATAAGAAACAAGAGTACTTAGTATATCCCAGTTTCATGCCTAGAAGAATTGCCGCACGTTCATGTCCCACAGATTTGCCATTGGTAGTCCTGGTATTTGATGATTTAGAAGGGTTTCCATGTTTTGGTAAGTTTCTTCATGTGGACAGCATGGCCAATAGGGATAGAGGAAGTAAATTGCTACTGTGCAACAGAACTGCCTTGAGGGATAGCTTTGATGAATCTATGAATAACCTCCATTCAGAAGGGTTGTAATTGAGATTTAATTCTTCCATCAGACCTGGGATATCACAACAGCCAATAAGGTTTTCATATTTTTTGAAAAAGAGGATCAAGTATTACTGACGATTTCTGTACATTGTAATCTTTACACCAGGTTGTAAGAAGTTTCATTGCTTCAATCTTGAATCCAAAAGTTCTGCATTCTCTTTGAGCAGATCTAGGTCCCAAATCAAGTTACTGAATTCAGCTTGAGTAAGCAAGTGGGCTTTTTTTTGTTCTTCTTGTTTGAAAGAAAAATCAAAATCATCTGATGTGGTTCCTCCTAGGAGATTTCCTCTTCGTTATCCTCGTCCTCATTCTAGTCATAGTTTACAGGAGCACTTAAAATAGGCAATTCGTCCCCGTGTGGTATTGGCCATATAGCAGAAGGAATGTCAGGATACTTCACTTCAGATTTCTTTTTCGTGACATTCCATGATGAAAAGGAGGGTTCATGCAAAAGTAGCAGTTGTCACTGTGATTAGTAGCTTCCTTCCACACCATGGGAACAGCAAAACACATTGAACTACCTTTCTTGTTCAACCATTCTCTTAAGGATACGCTGCATGTGATGGAGCAGATGTGACGGGCCCACGGTTTATCTTGGTCACCAACCTTCACCCTTTAGAACAAATTATAAGTACAGAATGCATGTCAGTGTGGTCATAAATACATTAAATATTTACAATAATAGTTAATTAAATGTAAAAATACAGAAGAAGAGAGAGAAAAAGACAAGGAAAGAGTACATATATATAAGACAAACAAAGGAAAGTAATATAAAATAAATAAAAAGAAATAGTCTCGGGGGCACTTAGATAGTTCTCTTAGGTATATTTCATAATCAGTCGGATTGAGAAAGGAGTATGTGTTTAAAGAGGAGAGGTTTGAAAGTGGAAACTGATTGTGCGTGTCGTATATCAGCAGAGATGGAATTTCGGAGGGAAGCGGCTTGAATTGCAAAGGATTTGTCGAACGCAGCAGCTTGGTGAGGATGAGTATAGAGCTCAGAAGTACGAGATCTATTGGACGGGATTGGATGGAGTATTTAAAGTGTAAGCTGTGAAAAAATATAGGAGGGTCGTTGAGTTCAAATGATCTGGTACAGAAGAACTGACGGCAAAAGGATGGATAGAGCCCCTTCAACTCGGTGTAATGCTGGGTAATATGCGTATCTTTTGAGATTTCGAAAACAAACGTAATATGCAATTCATTAGGCGTTTAAGTTTGGCCTCGATATCTCCCGAGAGTCCACCGTACACCATACAGCCATAGTCGAAGTGGGGTAAAACAAGAGAGGAAATTAGGAATTGACGGGACTTATATGGAAGGAGATAACGTAGATGATAGAACTGTTTTAGGGTGTTGGAGCGTTACCCGGTCACGCATCCTCGTGCCTAGCGACGCCGGTCCGAATCCGGCCTGGGAGTGGTTTACTTTTATTTCGTGGCGGACCCACGCAATGAAACTCGACCCTTCCACTCTGTTTATAATAGGTTTGGTTGTACCTAGAACACCCCTTCCCCCCCCCACGTATGCCAGAAATGGTGGGTAGGGGGTTATCCAATAAAAAAAAACTGATTTCCAGGAGAGAGTTTGATTAAAAGTAACTCCTAGGTTTTTAACGGTAGTATAGAATAATATAGATGAGTTGTTCAGGAGATGATTGGGGGATGCCGGGAAGGATTTGAGGAGTGAGGGAGATCCGATCAAGACGGCTTTCGTCATCTCGGCGTTCAGAGTGAGCCTGTTGAGGTTTACCCAAGCACTTATTCTAATAATATCTTCTTGGAGTTTTAGAATGGTATCCGAAGAATAGGTCTGATTAAAGGAGAAGTAAATTTGAACGTCGTCGTCATACAGGTGGTATTTATCGTGGAGAAAAGAGGATGGAAGGTCATTTATATAGATGGAAAAATGGGCAGGGGATAAGGAGAGTCTTGTGGGAGGCCTCTGGACAAGGGTAGAGATTCTGGTGGGGTCTATAAGGGATTATAATATACTGGGAGCGACCGGTAAGGAAGGATTGGAACCAATTAAGGGCACTAGAAGAAAAGGAGATATTTTTAAATTTGGTTAGGAGGAGGTTGTGATCTACTAAATCAAAAGTTTTGGAGAAGTTAAGGAGAATAAGGATGGTTTGTTAATGCTGATGTATGGCTGTATGAAGGTCTTGAAAATTTTGATTAGGTCAGACTTAATAGAATAGCCAGGCCTGAAACCGGACTGGTAGAGATTCAGGAGATTATCGTTCTCTAAAAAATGGGAGAGCTTGGATTCGACTAGTCGCTCTAAAAGAAGGGAATTAGACGGAAATCATTAAGAGCTGATGTATTAGAGGTCTTCTTCAAGAGGAGTACTAAGAAGGTTTTCCAGGATGTAGGGAAGCTAGCATTTTGAAGAGAATAATTATAGATATGATAAAGCATGGGAAGAATGAATGGCAGTGCGTCTTTAATCAGTCTGACTGGGATGTTATCTGGACCATAATCCTTAGTATGGGACTTCTGAATGGAGTTAAGGAGATCATCATGGGTAATGGGGGAAAAAATAAGTGATCAGGATTAAAAGAGGAAAAAATAGGAGAAGGACTGGACGCCGGAGGTGTGGTTGCGAAAGGGAAACAAAATGAGCGTTGATGTTATCAGCAGAAACGGAAATGGACTGGGACTGAGGCGTACTACCAATGGCCAGTTTTCTAAGAATAGCCCACGTGGCCTTGGTATTAGGTGACTTAGATAAGGAATGATAGTAATAACGGGATTTGGCACGACGTGCTGATGATTGAGTGCTGTTTCGAAGCAGTTTGAAGGAGAGAAAATCTTCAGGAAGTCGAGTTCGTTTAAACCGTCGCCTTGCAGCATCTCTTTCTCTCATACACCCTCTCAAAGCAGGAGTAAGCCAAGGAGCGGGAGGATGTTGGATGATTTTTGTGATAAGAGGAGCATGTCGGTCGAGGATAGATTGAAGATGAGTGGTAAGGTTTTCTACCATGGTATCGATGGATTTTGAGGAGTAAATGGGATCCCACTGGATTTCGACAATTTCTTTTGACATTGTTTTTATTTGATTTTTTTATGTAGAAATTCGAATTCCTCACACCAATAAACATGGAATGAGGCTGTTTTCAAGTGAGATATAATATCAATGTAAAGCAGTGTAATTTTAGTGTGCACTTAGCGAATTTCATTAAAATAGTATATAAAATCGTATATTTCTAGTAAAATCCTTGTTAAGATTGTGAATTTCAGTAATACAGCTGTATTAGATTCTTCTTCTATAAGGAAAACATTATTACAGCAACATTGAATTTTTTCATAAAATATAGAGAATATCGTGTATTTTAGGTCTTATTTGAACTAACATTCTTGAGGTTTGGTGTTAATGTCTATATTTAGCAGCTGTTACTGTCCAAATGCGTTCTTAGCTAATTTCATCATAAATATTGTGAATATTTTAAAGAATTTTTGATAAAATGTGGTTTGCAGTGTTATTACAATAGGTTGAAATATCAGAATGTAAATAAAAATTATAAGAAAGTTAACAAACGTATAGTATCAAGAGATGTTGAAAATAGATACAAAATAGCTAAAAAAATGGGAGAAGGCTTAGTTAAATAGACTAAAATCAGACGAAAATGATAAGAAATATAGTTAAAAATGGCACATTTTATTAAAAATTATTGCAAATGGAGTACAAAATATCTTTAAATATAGCATAAATATAGTACAAAAATTGTCGAAGTAACTAATGTAAATGGATTTAAAATACTTACAAGTTTAGTGTAAAGCGTAAATACATGTTAAATTTAGACGAAAATCACCAGAGTTTCTCATTTTCAGATAGAAAGATTCAGGAGCGCCTATCCTCCCTCCCCCCTCTCCTCCCAAGATATTTTATTAGTCACCTTTTCATAAAAACAAAGCAAGCTAAGATAAAATTAAAAAAATCGCAGATCATATACAATTACACTTGCTGGAGTCTGTTCCATGTTTTCCGTTTGCCCCTTGGTCCGAAAATTCATTCATCAAAATTCCGTTGAAATTTGCCTCCCCCAAAAATTACAAAATAAAAACTCCCTGGCAGGTTCGCGAGTACTTGTGGACGGATTTGACCCAACAGCTTCCTACTGAACCTCATCAATATCCATTAATGGTAGTCTGTAGCCCTTCTTTCTTTCCAACGTCGTATTTCCACTGCTAAATTTTACAAACCAACGCCGCTCAGTGCGCTGGACAAGGACACCTTCCCCTTCATATTTAACAATTTCACGAGTTGCTTCAGTGTCTGTTAAATTTTTTTTCCAGTAATGCTTAAAATTACGAGAATTCCGTAGGACCTGCCATGTTTCTTCTTTGAAACAAATCACTAAACTAAGGCTTTTTTCGAAGAAGTCGAATAGGATTAAACAAGCTTAGAGAATTCTCTAAAGGGATTATTAAGTATTAAAATATTTACAGTCCTTTGAAATCTCGAATTTGATAAAACGGTCATTTGTTTGTATACACCCTATTAATAAATAAATTTCTTTCTAGAGACAATGAGGCATCTGGTGAACAAAGATGAAACTATGTTGTTAGTGCTTGTCTAATTTCTACCTCTTATTACGTTTATTTTTTTCAGTTGATCAGCATAACCCAATTGAGGAATTAATAGAACTGTTCTGTTATGTCGTAACAATACATGTTTGTTTTGTTTTTCCTATAGGTTTTTGTCATTGTCACTGAAATACTGTTTGATTTCATGACAGGAATTAGTGACATTTTTGTGGTTAAGTGTTTTATTTTTCATCTGCCATTATTTTTTAATTGGAAGTGTTTTTTTTTAAATGTTCTATTATAATAAATTCAGTGTTTATTCCGAGATTTTTATATTAACATTTATTGTATTATGATCTCCAGACTTCAGCTGTGGTGATGTATTATATTGTTGGATAACACTGATGATAGTCGTTGAAATTGCACTGAAATGTATCGTTTTTTAACGGAAATTTCTGGTTGCTCTCAATAAATTGAATTATAATGCATCCAGTAAGGAGAAGAAAGAAGAGACCTAATTATGGTGTAAGGACAGTTGAAGTAAAAAGAGGACAAAATGGCTTTGGATTTACTATATCTGGACAACATCCTTGTATTCTTAGTTGCATTGTTGCTGGAAGTCCTGCTGAAAGTGCTGGACTGAGAGCTGGTGATTATTTGGTTGCTGTGGAAGGACAAAGTGTCAGTAAAGTTCCTCATGATGATGTTGTTAGGCTAATTGGTTGTTCTAATGGGGTCCTAAAGTTACAAATTGCTGAAAATTATTATTCCGATAGTTCAGATGACGATGTTCCTGTAATGATGAGACAGAAACCGAAGTATCCCCACAAATATTTAAACAACAGGCATACTGAAACATTGCATAATAGAGGCAGTAAAATGATTAGAGATATCAGAATGAATAATAGTGTATTCCAAACAAGAATGTCTTGCCCTCTTTCACCTCCAAGAAATGTCAAACACCCAGATCAGTGGAAATTAGAGAATCATATTCCTCCACCTATATCACGATATCATCATCGTGCTTCTAGTTGTGATGAACCTAATGTTAATGATGTAGAAGTTTTTCGTGCTATTGTGGGTTATGTTGGAACTATTGAAATGCCTCGAAAATTACCTGCTGGATCCAGGCTTCAGGTATTATTGAAATTATAGATAAGTTCAGCCTTTTAATTTAAATACCTTTTGTTTATTAGTACTTCTCATTCTGATATGATCAGCTGAGACATGAATTTATATTTAAACAATGCGTATTTCCAAGAATTATCTAATTTTTGAGGAAGGTGTTTTATGATTAATTGAATTTTGACACTATAAATTCTATTGTGAATGCCATAATTTTAAAATTAATTTTGATATTATTATTTGATTAGAGGTCTATTTTTTAATATTAAGAACCAACTCATTGTTTAATTATTCATATCCAATGCTCAGTATGGTTTTGCTTCATAATAGACAACTAAAATATTTGGTGCTTTATGATAAAGTACCACTGTTTATGAACTGGTGGAATTTAAAGATTTTAATCAAATTCATTTGGTTGGATTTTATAGCTATAAATGAATAGACGTTTTCATCATTTTTTTATCAGGACATCCTATCAGTAATTTTGGATTGTCAATAATCAGTAATAAATAATTTTGGATAAGTTAACAGTTGTTTCTGTATATATGTATTAAATGGTCAACTATATATTCTGTTATGAATTATTAGCTAATACCGTAATGTCAAGAGTGTCTTCTTCGTATATTATTTTTTTACTACTTTAATTATATCAACTATCGTCTTTCACTCTCTCATGAGGTAAATAAGTCCCTAATAAATCCTTTTCATTTGTAGGCTCCAACCTTAACTAATAATGACCTGTTGTGAATTGAGCCAAAGTTAATATTTGTCATCTAATTAAACCAGTAATTCTTTTAATTATTACTTATTGTTGGAAAGAATTACCATTAAATGGTGGAGTCATTTCCACTTTTACACACTGTTTCTGTACCTCCTCCCCTATTTTCTTCCATTCAGTCACCGATTTATAGCCACACTCTACTTTAGGGTCATTTTCAATCAAAATACTAGATTAAAAATAATATAATGAAAATATATAAGTTACATTAACAAAACATAGACCTGATAAGATAAGTTATAGATTATATTATAAATGGAACCTATGTTATATGTTTTTGACTTCTTAATACTTATAAATCAAGGTCTATAAAATTACTAATTGGTAATTGGTTGACTGTCGTGGATAATGAAGAGAAGAATAGTTGGGGTTCGTCTATAAAATTACCTATGGTGGGGAGGAATTGAGCTCTGACTTAAAAACACTGGTACTTTTCCGTTAATGGAGAAAAAAAAAACAATGTAGAATTCCGCCAAATTTCTTTCAATCATAAGGTTCTTTCTTACAAAGGCTATTAATATTAATTATAAGGGTTATTGATATTAATATTATGAAGTTGATTAAATTATTAATATTAATAATATAAATTTTGTTATTAATATTAATGATATAAAAATTGTTATTAGTATTAATAACATAAAGGTTATTAATATTTGTTTATTCTCAAAAACATTACCATATTCTGGAAAAACCAATAATTATAAGCATGAGTAAAACTGTTTTGTTTACAATTCATTAATATTTGTTTATAGTTGAAATTGTTTTGCTTACTATTAATTAGTATTTGTTTATAGTTATACGTTTTTGACTTTTATTCCGTTGACTGTTTTGTCATTCGCTTCGCTTGGGGAATTGGCTCGCGTTTGGTTCACAATTGGCGACATTTGCGCCCGACTAACGGAAAATTACCCAACCGCTAGACTACTATTACCTCTCTTACCCTTGTTTCTGGATATTTTATGATTCCTACTTAGGTTTCTATGTGAAATCAATATTTTAACTTATATTAATTTATTGATATTAATAAATTAAAAAAGTGAGAGAAAGGTTTATTTGCTATTTTGTTTATTCTCAACCAATTATAATGTAATTCAACATCTTGATGTTATATGGAATTTTTTTATTTCATTAATGTAAAATACCATAATATTTTTTAAAAAATTATTTCAAATAAATAGAAGACATAATATAGAATAATAAAACAATTTTTTTTTTTAATGATAGATGGGTGGTATATTGTTGACAGTTGAAATTGTTAGGATGAAAAATGATCAGGATGACATACAGTAAAAATTAAATATATTGAGTTTGTCAAATTTAATAAACTTAATTTTTTTTAAAAATTAATATATAACACAATAAACTTAATTTAATCCTGACCATTTTTGATCCTTAATAAAAAAAACATTTTTAATCCAAAATGAAGATGGTTTTTATTTCTTAGAATTTTTGTTAATATGACGTTCTTATATCATCAGTAACCCTATGTTGTGATTTGTTTTTGTGTTTTAATTGCTGTAATATTCTCAGGTTATTTAGAAATTTCATTCTTATAATTAACTGTTTTTAAAAAAAAACTTTACTATTTCTTCTTCAATTGAAGAAGAAATAGTAAAGTTCTCTAAGAAAAAAATTATACTTTTTTTTACAAGGCTTTTGTTTTTTTGAAATTATTTTTGATACAAAGTGATCCAACTTTCAAAATAGTTATATTATAATGAAAAATGCAAGAAACGCTAATAACAGGAAAGAAAAATTCTTTGTAACTAAAAAAAGAAATACTCGTTATATTATTAAAAGAAATACTCACAAGATCTTTTAACAAAATTACTACACAAATTGCTCTAGAATTTAGTTTTGTAGATCTGAATAAATATAAGTATTCATTTTTCCGTCTATTCTTCACAGTAAGTGACTTTGAAATCAAGAATTTTAAAATAATCTTAATATCAATTTCCGTTTCAGATTTTTTTTTTTTTTTAATTGAGAAAAAAATACATTTTGCCTCAATCAAGGGAATTGAGTATTTGCGATGTGAGAAACTCATTTCATACAATATATACAATTACAAAAATAATAGAAAGTTTCAGATCTAGCCTGTGGTTTTCATAACATTTTATTCTTGGTTACTAATCTTATTTATTTATTTACTTATTTGAAATATTTCAATAAACTAAGTAAGAGAACAAAAAAAAAGTACAATAATATTCAAATAAATCTTTACTGATAGCATCGAAAGAGTAATAGGTAGGTTTGGAGGTCTAGTCCTTATGTCACAATTTAAATTTCTCCCTCACCCACTACACATTTCTAAGTGAGCGAACCTGGTAGTTTTATAGACCTTGCATATGTATCATCACGCTTTTTCATTTAATTACATGATCTCCCTCATATTTACCAAAATTTTACTCCTAACTTGAATTGGATTTTCTGTTAAAATTAAGTTTTACTATCTCCTCTTTAGTTCTAGATAATACAATATATATGTTGATAGTGGATGATAATTGAAACAGAAAAATTCATTTGGGGCATGGTCCATTTCTAAACATTAAAGTAGGAAATTTAAAATTTGAAAGATTATCTTGGTTTTTGTAAATAGGAAGAGTAATATAACTATTAATGTTAGGTAATTTCCAATTGTAGCTTTGTAAACTAGACAAAAAGTTCTTTAAGAATTAGTCTAGTTTGTCTTTGTTAAAATCTAATGAATGAAGCTTTCAAGCAGCTGTATTAAGTCAACTTTTGAACAATTTACAGGATGTCTACAGACAGAGGTAACCAGAAAAAGTCAGGAATTTATTAATAATTTATTAAATTTGGGGAAATTTCTGATAATTGATGCCTTGACCACTTCCCCCATAAAAAAAAATTAAGTTACGAAGCAAAACCTTAAATTTAAATAAAAATGTTATTGAAACGATTGACTTATTTATCATTATAATTTGGAGAATGAATAATTAAATATATAAACATACTAAAAAAGTGAATGTGAACAATTATGTACTTATCTTGAGTAGTTTAATCTTCTAAAAATCTCAATATGGAGATTAAGCCTGTGCCAATCTAATAATCATTTCGCAGAAGTTAAAAATGAGTTTTTCCCTACTATTTTCGGATCCCCTCCCCTCTCCATTCTGGACTTACTTCCAGTAAGTTAGAATTAGTACAGAACATCAGTATTTTTTGGTATCGAAAATAATTAATTGTTTTTTGTTGGCATATGTGTTCTAATATTTGGACCATACTTAATTTTAGTTTAACTTGGAATTTTCATTATTCAGTCTTCATGATAGTTAATATGTTAATAAATATTTTTAAATAGATTCTTATTGCATTTCACTTTTCTTTATTTTTTTTACTTTCCTTATTCTGGAAGGGAAAGACAAGGAATTTTATTTAAGATAGGAAAGAGTCAGGAAAATGTCAAAGAATCTAATTGGCATTCTTGTAAACACTCGTTGGATAATATAAATGGTTGATTATAAGTTTATTCCTGAAACCATGGAAGGTTTCTAAAATAGTTTCCATGACATAAAATAAAAATAGGTAGATGATATCTTTTAGTTTAACTTTTTCTATCATTTTAATTTCAAGGCTCAATAACCATATAATTAAATTAATTGTTGATCTTCTCATGTCAGACAAATGTCACCTAATTGTTCAATGTAATAATTCTTAGGGAACTGAATGTTCCAGAATAAAATTTACTTTTCTTTCTTTTTCATTGCCTATAAAAGTATAGACCAACTTATCTCTTGTCACTTGATATTACATCTGATGAGAAATTCTCCTTTCATTATTAACCTGTTTGGCTTTATTTTACATATTAACTTATTTTGTTGAAATTTCATTTCAATTGTAATTCATTGGGAAGAAAACTACATTGGGCCCCTCATATCACTTATCAATAAATAAATTGGTTGTTAACGGACTCTCAAAAAGGACACCACAGCCTTGAGGCTCAAAATCAGAAGTACTGTCATTGATATATAATCCTGCTATTCAACCAACCAGTTTTAAATCAATCAAATTTTGCGAAAATTTAATTCATTATAAGATTGATAAAAAATCATTTAAGATCATACAAGTTTTTTATTGACAGCTCTTACAATGCCTACTGAATAGTACTGCACAGTTGATATTTTTACTGATGGAAGGAATTACCAAAACAATGTAGGAGCTGCCATTGCGCACACTGAGAAATTTAGGCTAGAAGTTTATTGCTTAAATAAGCAGTCAATTATTTATGCTCTAACAAGCCATAATATACCAGCCATTAAGAATTAATACTGAATACTGATAGTAAAACTAATTATTGCATTAAACTTGCCAAGTCACAATATGTATATTGAAAAACAAATATGCCTGAAAACTTTGTTGTGAAAATCAGGGAAGTGTTGATCCTTTGTTACAGGCAAGGCATTTAAGGGGTCCCCAACATAAAGGTTATGTACGGTTTTATGTTTGTGGGGGCCTCACCTTAGAACCCCGAATATCGATATTTTATATTTATCTAGTGCTGTGTTATGTTCGGCCTCCAAAATAAATGTTTTGTATTCGTTTATTTCTGTAAATTTTTGGGAGCCCCTTTCTGGGGACCTGTAAATTTATTCTATGTTTAAATCCCTGAAAACCTGGTGTGACTGAGCAACCTAAAACGTGTGCACAGAACCACGTATGGCAATAATGCCAGGAAAGGGGATAAAAAAAAATTAAAAACAAAAGAAAGAACCATGCGTTGCCTGGCTACTAGGAATATAACTACGAGTTCAGGTCCCGGTGCTGAACTGTGGCACTAATCCCTCACCCTCATCCCATGGCCCAGGAAAACCCCTTATAGCCTTAAAGGTAACGAAAAGGAGGACACACAAAAAAAATATATATATATATTTCTAATAAGGGGGCCAAAAATGGAGCCAGACTGGGCCTGAATTCACATAAAATAGTCAGTTTGGTGTAAATCTATTAATATAAGATAATATTAATATTTTAATTTATCTAATGTTTCTTATCATGTTTCCATTAATTTTTATATTTCTATTTTTAGATTGTACGTGGTTGCATCAAACGGTTAAGAGCTGAAAAACGATCTCACACCTCAGTTTTGATGACTGTTATGACTCATAGTTTACGTCTCACCAATGGAGCTGGTATAACATTAGCTATATATCCTGGTAATAGAGTTATATTTTGTGGAGCTAGTTCAGATAAGGATCACAAACATTTTGGAGTGGTAACTGCTGCTTCTGGAGAAGATCCATCTAGTTCATGTCATATATTTGCTGTTGATGCTCGTCCTCATTCTAATCATTTTAAAAGAGCTAAAATATTTAAAATAGAATGTCAAACTGATCCAGTATCAGGAATGTGTAAAGAATTCCCTCCTAATTGTGATCCAATCATAGCTGTTATAAAGGGTTTTTATGAAACTGAAGTTAATGCTGAGGAGCCAATTGTTGCTAATTCTCCTCAGCCAAGTCATGATAGTACAACAACGACCAGTAACAGTGATTCTGGTATAGGATTTAGAGATGACTGTGGCAATCAGTCTGATAGAATATTAGTTGTTGATGTACAGAATCATCGATTACACATCCAAGAAGTTGATAAAGTTGGCAATAAAGCAGATAAAGTGACAGTTCATGCTATACCTAGTGTAGCTGCAGCTAGTATTCGTAGCCGATCTCCTTTGAGTACTGGTTCTGAAGGTCCTGCTTTAGTTGAAGATATGAGTATTAGTTCTGGTGCTACAAAAAGTCCAGATGTCACTGTTATTCAGCAGAATAAAAAATCATTCTGTGAATTGAACATTAGTGTGAGATCTGCTGATGATATGAGTATTAGTAGTTCTAGAAGTCACGATGCTTTATTATTTCCTTATAAGTTAAGTCCTAAAGCCTTTCCGCTTTCTCCACCTACATCACAAAGTTTAGAAGATTTAAAAGAGCCTGACATTACTCATTGCTTACCTAGAATTCACCAACCTCATTGGGGCAGCCTTCAAGATCTAAGGACTTTTAATACCAATTGCTTTGACGGAACTTCAGCATCGCAGACACTGGTAATTTTATAATTTTTTTTTTTTAGCTTGTTTGATTAGTGGTCTTTAATGCTCAAAATACTTTTTTTTTTAGTTTTTATTAAGAGCTAAGAGCTAGCTAGCTGTGTCACACAGTTTCTTCCATTGTAAATTTGGATTATAAATGCCTGTTTCATATACCTGATAAGTACAAAACCAATTTTGTCTAATTAATTGAATAAAATCCAAAATTTATTTTGAAAAACAAAAGGACCAGCTATCGCTGTATTAAAAACAAAATATTTTTTAAAAATACTAATTAATAAATAATAAATAAATATTTCCTTTTCCCTTTGGTATAAGGATGTACTGATTTTTCTAAAACTTGATCTAGATAAGGCAGCATATAGTTGCTCATGGAAAAAACAGTCCTCTATTATATCTACTGTAACATACTTCAAAGTTTGCCCCTGCAGGTGGTGGGCATTATTGAATGAATTTTTATTCGAATAAATTATTCAATCACCAATATTTTAGTGTGTGTGGGCGTGCGTTTATGAACAGTCTAGCTCAAAAAGGAAAAGTCAAATGAAACCGAAATGTTAAGATTTGTATAGCCTGGGGTGTTACACCAACTTTTTCGTTAAAATGGGCAAACCTTAAGTGCCACTTTATATCATTGATTTTAGACATTTTTACGATTTTCTTTAAAACAGCTCTAATGATTTTGAATTAAATTCATTACATCAGTGTAAAATTAATCATTTTTAATGTAATGTAGGTCTTATTCTCATTGATGTTCTCTACCAGGGCTTAAATGCCTAATTTTCAAAATTTCTTCCTTTAAAGTACCTTTAATTTTTTTAATTTGAAATAATTAATCTTTGACATTGAGTATAGAATTGACATTGACATTGGGGTCTGATATAAAAAATAATTAAATATAAAATATGAAAGAATTGGATAATTATCTAATTGAGATGTAACCTAATATACATTGTTATTAATAAAGAATCAATGAAACCTGAGCGGGCAGGCGATCTTGGCCGTAGGTTAGAACAGGCTTCTATACATAAACATATGCAGTTTTCATAAAAAGCACCCCTGAGACTACAATATTAGAGCCATGTGTCTTTGTTGTTAACATTGCTGACTTTTAACGGGCACATTCAAAACAAAAGTTATGAGTGTTGAGACATATCTGTGGTCAAAAATTAACAATGCATATTTAAAATTTTAATTTAAAAACATTAGGAGGAAAAAGAGAAAGGGTTGAAAGAAACAGCAGAGGAAGTGATTGATATTTAGGAGAAACGAAAAGCTAAGAGGTGGTTCACAGAAGCATGCGAAAAGGCAGTTGAGGAAAGAAGAAAAAAAAAGAAAAGTCCTCTACATAGCAACAACTAATCAAGTTAATCTGAACAAACACACATTCACCATGAAAAATTCAAACAAAATTATAAGATCGGCAAAAAACTTACTCCCTCAAAAAAAAGATTACAAACAATTTAGAATAAGTGGCAGGCTGTAGATACACGCGAATTCCATGCAGACATTTAGCCCAGTTAAATTTGTACAGTAAAAGGGGTCTAGCTTGCAAAAGATTCATTTCTCTAAAAAGATAATTTTAATTCTCTAGAACGTTGAATTAAAAAAAAAATTTCTTCAGAGAAATGTGGAACTTCTTATAAAAACCGTGCTAGCGTTTTTTTTATGATCAGTGTTCTCAAGGCGAATCAGATTAATAAAATGTTCGATATGAATTTGTATTAAAACTGTGAAAAGAAGAATAAATAAACTAAAAAACACCAGATCTTGATTCCTCGTAAAATTTCTGAATGCTCAGGAACTTTACGAGCCCTAATAGGTGATTTTACCTGAAAAAAATGTGGAATCCGCATTCTCTTATTTAAATTCTTTTAAAAAATTTCTTCAGAGAAATGTGGAACTTCTTATAAAAACCGTGCTAGCGTTTTTTTTATGATCAGTGTTCTCAAGGCGAATCAGATTAATAAAATGTTCGATATGAATTTGTATTAAAACTGTGAAAAGAAGAATAAATAAACTAAAAAACACCAGATCTTGATTCCTCATAAAATTTCTGAATGCTCAGGAACTTTACGAGCCCTAATAGGTGATTTTACCTGAAAAAATGTGGAATCCGCATTCTCTTATTTAAATTCTTTTAAAAAATTTCTTCAGAGAAATGTGGAACTTCTTATAAAAACCGTGCTAGCGTTTTTTTTATGATCAGTGTTCTCAAGGCGAATCAGATTAATAAAATGTTCGATATGAATTTGTATTAAAACTGTGAAAAGAAGAATAAATAAACTAAAAAACACCAGATCTTGATTCCTCATAAAATTTCTGAATGCTCAGGAACTTTACGAGCCCTAATAGGTGATTTTACCTGAAAAAATGTGGAATCCGCATTCTCTTATTTAAATTCTTTAATATCGACTTTTCTTTCTTTTTTTTTTTTTTGAGCTTAACATTTATTTCTTTTATTATTTTTATTTATCTTGCTTCTATTCTCCTCTGTATTTGAGCAGATACCGATATTTTAAAGACTGATATATCGAGATTCATAAAGTTTAACTTAGAATATTATTTTTATTACTAATAAGTGTGTCAATCAATCATCGAGGGATCATTTCGAGGGACCTCATTTTATCGATATTGGTAGGGTTTGATCATTTATTTATTTCTTGATCCTCCGCTTTCCCTAATTTTAGTAGATACCAATATTCCAAAGACCAATGTATCGGTCTCACATCCTTATTTTATTTAAGGACCTTCTTTTTTTATTATTTTTTTGAGAGGCTCGTTTGCTTATAAATTTTATTTGTCTTCCTATTGGCCCGATATATCGGCCTTATGATCCTATTTTATCATGATTCATAGAGTTTCCCATGGAATATTATTTATATTGCTAATAAATATGTCAATCAGTCATCAAGGAATTGACATAAACATAAATTTGAGCAGATATCGATATTATAAAGACCTATATATCCTGCTGATGACTTCTTTTTATCGAGATTGAAAGAGTTTTACCATTTTTTATTATTTTTATTTTGTCCTTTCCTTCCCCTCATTTGAGCAGATAGAGTTAAATATCGATATATCGCCCTACAACCAAATTTTATCGAGATTTAAATATGAAATATTATTTTTATTGCTAATAAATGTGTGAATCAATCGAAAGGATCAGAGTGAAACAAAAATATCTATGACAAAAAAATTAAAAATTTATTTATTATTTATTTTTTTTATGTTTTTGGTCCTTCGGTTTCTCTAATTTGAGCAGATACCTATATTCCAAATACCGATATATCGGTCTTACTTCCGATTTATTGAATTGAATTGAAAATATTAAACCAAAAATATTTAAAAATCACGATATCTTTACTACTAATCTTCACTAATAGTGCTCTGAGTGCAATGAAACTTTCTTAATTTTTTTTAGGAAATTTGAATATCTTTGAAACATCTGATTCAAGTACATTAAATTCACAAAATAGTGTATACTTTTTGAGTTATTCAGAAATCTAATTTTACCACTTTGTTTACTCGTTAACTTTTTTCCAGCTTCTTTTCATTGAAGTGTGGGGTATAGATAAATTCTAAGGGCATCTAGAAGAATATTTAAGGCAAGTTTGATTGAAATCGGTAGATTCGTTAAGGCACTATGGTCTTTTCCAACAGGTTTTTCGGCTGTCATCTTGAAAGGAAATGGCAGATAGTAATGTCGAGGTAGGACTATTACCTCAGGTGACCTCTGACTTAGATTTAAAATTTGTAAAAAAGAATCGGTCCAGTGATCTTAGAGAAAATGCTTGGACAGCCAACATTTTTTTATTCGATTTTCGAGTTCTACATATCCAGAAATATAAAACCTCAAATTTTGAGGGGGGCGTTAAGTTTTTGAATTTTTTTTGTCGATTTCAATGGTTCATTATTGAAAATGATGAACCAGAATTTCAAACTCTACTAATCTTGATAAAGTAAGATCGGGAGGCCGATATTTCGGTCTTTAGAATATCAGTGTCTGCTGAAATTAGAGAATGTGCAGAACCAAAAAAAATAAATAATTAGCAATAAAGATAATATTCCAAGTTTAAATCTCGATAAAATATGGCGGTAAGGCCGATATATATTGCTCTTTGTAATATTGCCATATTCTTAAATAAGAAAAAGGAAATGACTAAAAAATTAATGGAAAAAAAAAAAGTTAAAACTACCAATCTCGATAAAATAATGTCATAAGGTCGATGTGTCGGTCTTGGCTCAAATTTTATGTCGATCTCTTGACGATTGTTTAACACGTTTTTTAGCTATACAAATAATTTGCCAAGTTTAAATCTCAATAAAATATGGTCATAAGGCCGGTGTATCGGTATTTACAATATCTTTATCTGCTCAAATGAGGGAAAGGGAAGAACGAAAATAAAAAAATGATCAAATAAAAAAATCGTTAAACTAACAATCTCGATAAAATGAAGTCATCAGGCCGTTCTTAGAATATCGTTCTTTAGAATGTTGGAATCTGATTAAGTTTTAATCTCAATAAAATATGGTGGTAAGGCCAATATATCGGTCTTTGTAAAAGTGCTATCTTCTGATATAAGAGGAAGAAAAGGAAAAAAAAAAAGTGGTAAAACTCAAATAAGCTCGATAAAATAACCTTGTAAGGCGAATATATCGGTCTTAAGAATGTTTATTTCGATTTCTTGGGGATAGACATGATTATTATCAATATAAATAACATTGCTAGTTAAACTCTATTTATCAAAATCAATATTTATCAATATCGTTCCAATGGGAGGTTAACAGATTTGTAATATGAGGAGCACAAACAAAATAAATAAAAAATATGGTTAAACTCTACCAATCTTGATAAAATAATGTTGTGAAGCCGACATATATGGGTCTTTAAATATCGGTACCTGCTTAAATTAGGGGGAAAATGGTCAAAATTTACCGATCTCGATAAAATAAGGTCGCAAGGCATAAAAAAAAAATTATGTATATATATTTAT